AAAAAATAAATAGTATTATTATTTATTTTATTATAATTCTTCTTATATATTATATATTACCTATACCAAGCCCACATTAGATGCTATTTATTATTTGCCAATCTATTTCGTTTATCACGCATTGAATCATCAAGTCTGTAGCTCTTCTGTATATCTTAAATATATATATGTACATATGTTAGGTATATATACATCTTTATATTAGGGTGGCTCATAAAAGTAAATTTTTTTTTCGCTTGGTACTCTGAAAAATAGTTTGGTAGACTAAGAAAGTTTCTCCAAGTATGAGCTCTTAATTGTAACGGGAAGGTTCTCCGCCGTACAATTTTCTTTTTTTTCCTTATTATCAGATAAAAAAATTCACATCTCGCTTTTAACTACTTGAAAAAATATCTCGTTTCATTTAGATTTGTAGAAAATTGTATGCTCTACAAAATAATCTCGATTAGTTCTTTTGACCCACCCTAATATGTCTATACATATATATATGTATCAGTAATAGGTACACATGTAAACACTGGAATGCGAAGAATAATTGATGGAATGAGAAGTGGCAATTTGAAATGCCATTAATTTATTTTATAATATTTTATTGTTGTAATATGTAAACATAATTGAAGGTTATTTATCGCGGTAGTCATGAAATCGAAGCAATTCAATTAATTACAAAAAATACATACATATGGTTATATTGTAATATTGATATATATTTATTTATTTATATATATATATATATATGTATATATATGTATACATATACTGATTCTATATAAGAACATGTAGGGAAGTAAGTAAGTTATATGGGGGCTAGGGAAAGTGTTCACCCAATTTTGTCCATTTTAGGCACAATTAAACATTATTATTAGAGAAACACACGTTTTCAATTTCAATAAGCTAACTCACATATTGACCGATATATGCGGAAAAAAGTCAGTCGGAGAGTTTAAAATTTGTCAATTAGATATGTGTGTACTAAGGGAATAATTGATCCGATTCAAACCATTTTCGACAAACATACATACTTTTATCAAGAAAGGATTCTCCCCGAATTTCTGTAATAAATCTCAGAGATTGATCCATATTTTTGATAAAAAGGTTGCAATAGGAACTCTGGTCCACATATTCGGTACCTAGGGGCGTGTATAGTTTTGTTTCGATTTGGACAATTTATGGCCACAAGAGGACACACTTCAAAGGTACTATTCGTGTAAAGTTTTTCATCTCGTTATATTCATTGCTGCTTGATTTGTATACTGGAAAGTGAAGGAATAAAATGGAATTTAAAATTGTGCCGAATTTGGATTAAATCGTTCGAGCAGGTCTCGAGATATGGATCATCCAATTTTGACAGCGGCGCTTTTAAACCTTTTGCTATCATCTCGGTTGTAAAATATTACGCCTCTGACGCATTTATTTGACTTAACGCGCTGTTAGAATTTTTAAGAAAACCATTATATGGGGAATGGGCGGGATTATCATCCGATTTCACACATTTTCACACTGTCGATAGGGATGCTAAAAAGATTTGCCGTGAGCGAATTTGGCGCTTTAGCGGCTTAGAAGATGTATATATTAAACCCATTATATCGATGGAGGAGGAAATAGTTTCAAATGAGGAGTTCAGCATGGAAATGAATTGAAGGCCTCGAAATATTTTGATTTTACAAGACCTTGCAGATATTATTCGCTCGCAATAAACATGTCCTCAAGCAATAAACTGAGGATATGCCGTCTTTATGGCTGCAGGCAGACTCATAATTAGCGAATTATAGCCGTAAAGTTAATTTTTAGCTACTCTCTTCCCATCCGTCTTTATTTCTCATCGTTTTTCGATGTTTTTGTTTTTTGGGAACTTTTGTTTCGATTTTTCTTCTTGTTCTAAGAAGTCAAGCCGATTTATCTCTACTTTTTACCAACGTTCACTGAATTGAAGAAATCATCCAAGAGTGGGGACGTAAAACTTTGTATATATTTCTCGAAGCGATTATTTTTAATTTTGAGAGTGAGAGAAAGAGAGCTAATCGTGTTCAACTGTTCCGTTTCGATGCTTACTTGTATGAGTTTTATCGATATGCCTACATATGGTTCTTGGATTTTCTAATGGTAAAAAATTATACTTTTGACAATTGTTGAAATTGTGTTGGTGAAGAATTCATAAGGAAAAGGCTTTGCTTATTTCTGCTGAAAAGAATCTAAAAAAACTACCAAAGCTTACTTAAAATAAATATATAAAATAGTTTTGAACGATGTTTAAGGATGGAAATCGATTTGACTATACGTTTTTGACCAAATAAGAGAGAGAGCGAAGAGTTGTTCTAAAAATTATGAAGAATCGCATGTTACTAGATGGTGATATTGATATACGCAAAGGTATCTATTCTTTTGCTTTTTTCTTATATTTAGCTATGCATTCGACTATGTCTTGGGAGCTTGGTGAAATATCTCATGTCAACTTCTTTATTATTCATAGATTGGCTCTCATGTACATGACAAACGTTTAAAATGAACTAAAAAGTTTTTCTTTTGAGTAGATTTCATAATGAAACCTGGTCACTTGAACTTTTGCTTTACATTTAATATTTAAATGGTGTGAAACTTAGATGACGTATTATATTTATGTCATTTGGGAAGTTATGTGAATGATTAATACACAATGTGGTGTAAAACTTGGGTAACGATAACTTTTGATCAACAAATTTAAGGTAAGAGAGCTCAAAAGAGTGTTTAAAGGATGGGTAAATCTCTGATTTTTGACAAGAATACCAACTCATATAGGATATGTCGTGAGTTTAAACCAATGACAAACAATTGATTAAATCAAACACAAACGAGTGGAGAAGGTTTAAAGAGTGTTGGATAGGAATACGCATTTCTCACTTCTCTTGGCATAATATACATATATTTTACTACTGAATTTAAAATATATATTTATATTTATAAACAAACTTTAGTACGTCCATTTGCTAGCATTATACATTTTCATTTACGTTGTTATTATTGCTGGTTGCTATGTTGTTGTTGGAGCTTGCTATTTGTCCATATGCAAGCATTTCGTATGCTATCAAATTTGAAACAGATGCTCGATTTCGTTAAAATGCAGCGCACAACAATGAGTTCGAAGGAATAAATAAATAAACGCCAATTTCACATGTCTTTGTGTGTGTGTATGTGTGTGCGTGTGATACACAACGCCATCGTGTATGCATTGTTTGGTAATCACGTTTGTATAAGCATGTGTTTGCGCTTGTCAAGAAGTTCCCTCAAAAGTTAGTTAATAAACTCGGGAATAACATGACGGTCGCGTGCATTGACCGACAACCGAGCTCTCAGGGGCATACAACGTTCTGGCGTCGCTTCGTCCTGCCGTACTCGTGTAGTGGATATGCGTAGAGTTTCTAAGCGTTCAAAGTGCGAGAAAGCAATTTTTTTTATATTTTGTTTTTATGGGAAAGATCGAAGTATGCGTAATAACTGATGTCGATAATGGAAAGTCTTTAGTAAACGGATATGGAAATGTAATTGATATCAGCAGAGTTCTCTATTTTAGTAAATTGTACGTGTAGTATTTATTAAAAGGGGTATTCTAATAGCGTTTAAGCAAATTTTACTGCTAAGTATGTAATAAAATTGAATATTTAATATATTAAGGGTTAAAGTTAGCATAGATTTGGGTGGTGGGGGATTAATTGCTATTTTTGGAAAAAAAATTATTGCAAATAAGAGTTTTGTTCAGGGGAGATTATTTTACAGTTTGAAAATGCTCTAAAAATAAATTAATAACAGAAGAAAATCGAAACAGGTTTTATTATACATTTAACGTAGTAACGATAGTGAAGGTTAAATATATCTATGCAATAGAGTAGGTTCACTAATAATCCGTTAAAGTTCTGCAATTAACTCGTTAATAGAAGGCCAATTAAAATATAGTTACTTTTAAATTTATTGTAATGAAGCGAGTTGAAACTCCCGGTTTAAAAAGATTGAGATTGCAGTTGAGATTAAGGCTAAACATAGTTTTGGTTACAATTGAGGTGAATGTTGTGGTTAACTTTAAGGTTGATGTTTAATTTAAGCTAATGGTTAAGGTTAAGTGAAGGTTAAAATTAATTAAAGGTTAAAGTTAAGCTAAAATCGAATTTCACTCCAAGTTTAAATTTAAGATTAGTATATTACGGGTAATCTTAGATGTAAAAGTTAGGTTAAGCTAAAAGTTAAGGTATAGTCGAGGCTAAGTAAAAGTTAAGGTATGGTTTAATTTTACGAATAAAATTAAGTTTAAGTTTAAGTTTAAGGTAAAGGTAGAGGTTGAATTTGAAGTTGAAGTTAAGATAAAGGTTAAGGTTAAGGTTAGGGTTAAGGTTAAGTTTAAGGTTAAGGCTGAGGTTGAGGTTGAGGTTAAGATTGAGGTTAAGGCTGAGGTTGAGGTTGAGGTTGAGGTTGAGGTTGAGGTTGAGGTTGAGGTTGAGGTTGAGGTTGAGGTTGAGGTTGAGGTTGAGGTTGAGGTTGAGGTTGAGAATGAGGTTGAGATTGAGAATGAGGCTAAAGTACAATAGGTTTAAGAATAATTTCTGAAATTGTAGCTAAAATGTAATTGTAAGTATATGTGTACTGAAACTCACCTCTTATTAGGCTGTTATAGCTTTATAATATACTCGTAATAAGGGTAAAGAAAAATGTATAAGAAATTTGTTAGCAAGTTAATTGTCTTCATATAGTACGAGTAGTATATACCACGTGCAATATGATTTAAAATAAGTATTACTTTCCGATTGGTTTGATTTGTGGAAAAAACAGACGCCAATAAGCTCTTGCAATGTAATAAAGTGTCTTACTAGTATATGAAAAACAATTGACATTCCCTCGTGACTCTTATATTGCCTGTACTCTGTTGCGAGGGGTAAGAATTGAAACCAACACATACACATATATGCATACATCGCTGCATTTACGCTGCAAGTGAGCAGTAATAACTTGCTGGCGGAACAATAACCGACACTTGCCAGCCAGCTATTGGGGCAAGTGGACGTTGACCAGTGTGACGGGTGCACTTAAGTGTTGTTGTTGGAAAAAATATATTCAAAAGGGGTGACACTTTTAGAAAAAAATACCTATATTAAAAAAAAAATCTGTGTAATTTGCTGAAGTTGAGGGCGAAATGCACACAGTATGGAAAATTAGTGAGGAAAGTTATACAAAAATAACAACAACATACTATGCACATTATCAGCAGCTGGCAGCGAAGCAATTGAGTCGACACGCTGCAAATTGCCACACAGTGTAATTTAACTGTTTTATTTTTATTTGCATGCAATCAGCGAAATTGATGAAAAGAAAACAAGTGAGAAAGCAGCAAATATGTGGATAAAACTCAGTAAATAAAGAGATATTTATGTAGCAGTGTTTAAATATGTAAATAGTGAGATAAATTCTATATATATTAAATGCTATAAAATTTAAAATGAGTGAAGCGGGTAAGAAATAAAAAATGCCACAAAAAATCCTAAAAAAAAACTGAATTAAGCGTAAATTCACGCTTGCAGCACGTGTCGCCATAAAAATTGCTCTTAAAATACGGCAATTAAACGCACACCAACGCAAAGAGGTGTTAATAAGAAATTTTTTTGAAGCCAGAATTAATTAATAAAAAATAAATTTCAGCGGTGTGATTTAAAATATATTAAATTAACACTTAAAGTGCTAAACTGTGAAAACATATCAACTATTTGCAAGTGAAGCAATCAGTGCAAGGACGAACGTTACTTATACGCCCGCGTGCCTCTTTTAGTGACTATAAGAAGCTAAATGAAAAGAACTTTTTACGCATATAATTAAATGTTAAATGACCGACAGTGTTGCTGATAATGATTGTGGTGGCACTTGATTGCCTTTCATTAACAACATGAGTCCACAAATCGCCTCCACATACTTCACCAGGGTCGTGGAGAAAGCTTCAACTGAAACACTTTCGGGCTGCGGGTGACAGCTTAACTATAATCCGGTGATAATATTACAAAAAGTCTTTAGAGAACTTTTGCCAACTGATAGATATAAATAAATAAACAAAAACAACAAAAAAATATAAAAATTAAAAAATAGATAAAGAAAGGAAAAAAAGTTATACCACAAAAATAAAATGAATGACAAAATAATGTGAAATAAAACGCGTGACATTTAAGCGCCCCAAAGCTGCAATCAACCAACCCGCACAAAATCTCGAGCACATTCATATCATACCTTGCTTCCAAATCACTTGATTGTGCCGAGCAACCGCAGCACTGGCTGAGATTTATGTGTAGACTATATATGTATAGAGTGCTGTGTGTTGCCTGGTCTTAAGCGCTACGCATACACACACACTCGCTAGCTTGCTCGCATTTGAAGTCGCACTCGCAATGAGCCACCAGTTTCAAGTGAGCTACACCGCCCTTGAGATGACCGACGACAATCATCATGCTTCCTCCATGCCATCGGTGGTGTCATCACCGTCGCCGCGTACAGCGCGCAATGTCAATTTTCATAGCGAAATCAACGATACACCACCCACACCGCCACCCGGTTATCCGCCGCAGCAATTACCGCCGGCACGTCGTACCTCGAAGTCGTTCTTTCAGCGGCCGCGTTCGATGTCCGCTTGGAGTGATATTAGCCGCAGTAGTATGCGTTTGGATGAACGGTAAATATGATAAATGTGTATAATTTTATTTTCCTAAGATTACTAAGCAAAGCCAAACTTACTAACAAAGCCACGGCATTGCCATAACCGTCAGCTCGAAAAGTTCGTTGAACCAGAACTTTTGTATTGTGTTTATCCTGTAATAGTTCATTTTAGTTTTAAAACATTACTTCTAATCCATATCTAGATCAAAGTTTTTAATTTGGTTCCATCTTTCATGGGGTTCTAGACCTAAGGCTAGCAGCTATCTTTTTGGTTGTCGAAAAATATATTTCTTTATATGCTTATAGCCGCTACTACCCACTCCGATACTGGCCTTGAATTCGCTGACTCGATACTGGACTGTTGAGCCTCAGACCAGCTTAGCTAGCGTTGGTCAACTTCCAGCAGTTGTGCAGTCTCAAGCACCTATTCAGATTTGTGATAGGTTCAGGGCGTTTTTGCCGATAGCTGAGGTCCCACTACAGGAGTTTTTTCGTTTGGCTTCACAAAGGACTGAACATAACAGTCTAAGTGTGATCCCTCCGCCATGCTGAGGGATCAGCCATCTAACTTAACCTAACCTAACCTGTTGTATATGCTTATATACAATACATTAGTTCGAAATAAAACTCTGTTAACTCTGTTATAAAAAATAGGTGCTGGAGCAGAATCCTGCTGAAAGATCTAATGTTCTCCATCGAAGATAGTATTGCTGAATTGCTTTACCACGCCTTCTAAAACATGCTGCTGGTATACTGTTGCCCCAGTTTTAAACTCTTTCTCGCAAAAATGATGTCTTTATAGCAACTCGTCACCATTATATCAGCTCGGTGGTGACCACGTTGAACCCTTGGAATAATATTTTAGCGTAGACTTAGTCGTTTTGCTTATCAACAACTTCTTCAACAGTGAAAGTTTTTTCAACTGTAAAAAGTACATCTTCATGGTCGTTGAAGAAGCCGCTTGCATCCATCGAGCCTAATTTGCTTCAAACACATTTTCATAAGATGACCAGTTGACCGATTGTAGGCTTTCATCTGGAAAATAACTCGAATAAGTCTAGACATTCATCTGGTTGGATTTCTGCGAATGCGTTTGCAAACAGTTTTTATGATTGAGTTGGTTCGAAACCCGCGATGTGCTACCGATATGTCGTGCGTTCGCTTTGGAGAAGAGGACTTCCACTTGGAAGCTGCTTTTGAAAAGTAGGAATAGGGTCAGAGAGCTCAAATTTGCTTTCTAAGGCAGATGCTATCAAAGGTAATCTATGTCAGAATGATCTGATATTTAATACTTCGGACTCACTTAGCCTCTTTATTTAGATAGGGTCACATACCACAATGTAAATATCTAAAAGTAATAAGCCTGAAGCATATCATCTTAGTGTCTTCTTTATGTTTTATCGCAACAGACTGCCTTGTTTTCTATAATTAGACTGTTTCTTCGGAACCAACAGTTACGTTTATGGAATCGGTATGGACACGATACTTATCATAGAATATTTTATATCCGAAGATATTGTTTCGATCGGAGTACTATAGAATATAGATATGCTATAAGAAATGCATCTGTGAAGGGTATTATAGCTTCGGTGCAGCCGAAGTTAACGTTAGAAAAGCTCCATTGATCCACCACATAATCCTCTTCCATAATTAACCGGTATATAAATCACAATATTTTGCTACTATTAATTTCACATAATCACATTCAAATGCCATTTTGACCAGCTGTAATGAGTCTATTTTCATCCCAAACAAAGGTCTCTAAATACAAAAGTAAATATTTATTGAACACAAGTCGCCAGCAAGTGGCGGGGTGTGCACAATAATAGACCAGTAGCGGCAGGCTGACACGTCAAAAGTCAACACTAAGCGATTTCACTGAAATATTGCCACAAAATATGACAGGAATTTAGACACTCGCATTCCAAACTTGGCGCACACCAACAAGGCAACGCCGAATATAACCTAAAAACGAGAAAAATAGCAATAAAAATGGCGAAAATATGCCCAACCACAAAGTCCGTTGTGTCCACTAACGAACTGAAATGTTATATAAGTGCTTTGTTGTTGCTATTCATCTATATAGTACAACCGTTATGCCGGCCGTCAATTACGCTTAATGTAGTGAGAAGCATGAATTATATATCGTTAGAGAGACTCACGTGATTCGCACTCGTTTGACTGTTGGTCGCAGACTGCTTGGCATATTGACCGTTGGTTCGCTCGTTAAAATTGCTGGTAGAGTGTATTGAGTGTAGTGAGTAGACTCATCGAAATTCCAGCAGCATCATTGCATTCCACAATGAGTATCCTAATGCGTTTGTCAGGCAGGCGGCTGGCGGTTGGGCAGACGCACAGCTGAGGGCGCGCGGTGTTACGTCCATCAGCTGACAGCTCCGAGTGTTGTGGTGGATTTTAAGCTTGTAAAACACTGCAGCAGAACATTGTTGACGTTCTATAATATGACAACTTGCTGGTATGCTACATATTACATTGTTGTTAGTGTTTGCTCTTTTTATCGATGCGTCGTTCTGCGAGTAATGTTTTAATTATTTGAGACTTTTTATCAGCGTTTTTGTGGGTTTCGTGTGTGTTTCGTTTTCTTTTGTTGTTGCTAACAGGTGACACTTAGGAATTTCATTTGAAATATGGTTTTTGAAAATGGCCTTATCAGCATATACCGTCCTGCTCCTCACGACAATTAATACATATGTATGTATCTGTTTGAAGAGCTCTTTTGAAAGCTGAAGTCGCTTAAAAGCTCATTTACAGATTTATTTCAGTATACATGTAATCGTGTACAAAAATTTAGAGTTCAGCGAACTTGGCATCTTGCTGGATTCAATATGTGACGCAGTTTTACCGTGGTGGATAAGAACTCGAATGGACCGCGCCTCCTACAGTCCCTAGCTCGCAACTACTTTTAACTATAGTAGAGGATCGTCTCACATTTAGCCACTCTACAGCCCCACCATCAAAGTTGGCATAGGCGTGGCCGGCTGTTCATTCACTTGCGAAAACCGCATGCAGCAGTTTCGGCCCTACCACTTTCCTTCTTCTCCGTATTTTCCAAGGTGGCGCGGTTAATGCGTTCCAAGATTAAGGACCGGTTTCTCCGGATCGGGCTGCCGTTTGTCTTACGACTTTACGTCGCCGGCCCGCTGTTTCGAGGTCTGGTCTTCAAGTACTGCAGCACTTCTAAATTGCAACGAATTTGGCAGAGCACTACAACGCTCGTGCTCTCTTCGCAGAGGTAAGGCCGCTGGCAAGTAACACGCTGCGTCTGCCGGAAGTAGCAGCCACTACTTCCACCGACGTTTGAATAATATTCATCCCCATTTCTTCTTTTGTCTTGTATTGCTGAGTTTCGTAAATTTTCATATCAAAATCTGCCATTCTTATCTTATTTCCCATAACAAAAGCAAACTTGCAGATACTTGTATACAACTTGTTACACGGCTGAAGAGCATAAACAAAGCCTCTGGCCATAGAAATATTGTCTCAGCGAAAGGTGATTGGCAAGAAATATATAAAGAAATTACAAAAATAAGGCCCCCTATTAACCATTGGGCTGATCAGGCATATTATTGTATGTATGCGCTATGTGTACATAAGCTCAGGTAAAAGAGCGAAGTGAAATACCATGAAATGGAAAAGAGAGAAATAACAGGTAATGGTCATACACCGTCTATAAGCGCATCCTTTGAGGAAAATCTGAATAAAAACACTATTAAAATAGCAAGTTAAACAAGATGAGAAAAATGTTAAAAACACATGCAACAACAATAAGTGGTGAGTGCATCAGATATTGCTTACTTACTACCGGGGCCCGGCGATGAGTGTCGATAAGTGATTGTGCAAAATGGAAAACGATGTAACAAAGCGCCTGATGGGGATTCTGTTGAGATGATGAATTGTAGAATAGCGATAAATGCAAATAGGGCTTATATCATATACGTACATAGCTATGTAAATATATTTGTTGATAATTGTATTTTATTTTCTTTGAGCGCATGTGAAGCTAGACTGACATATGCCACATGCTGGAATCTGGGTCTTTTGATATAATTGTCTTTTTCTAGAGTTTGCAGCTCAAATTGTTTTCAGAAATTTCTAGAATAAAAACATTTATCGTAGCAGTCTCGACATGCTACTTATCAACACCCAAATCAAGCTTCCGGTCAAAAACATATTCCAATATCATTGAATTCGATATACGAAAAACTTAGTCGTAGAGCTTTATCGGATTTTGAGAAGCACTCGTCGAGGAGCTCAAGATAACATGGAATTGACACTATATACTGAGTAACGGATTAAGGAGGATGAAACTTAGGCATAACAGCTCGAGGATATCTAGAAGCAAATTTTAATGAACGTTTCTAAAAGTTCCTAAAACTGACAGTTGTGATATTATTCGCAAAAATCACCGAAGTTTTTAATATCTACTTTTATTTAATAACATCTTTGTTCTGGTCTGGTAGAATGTATTTCCAATGAAATGACTCACGAAGGGTTTTCTATCTTTTGCTTAAAAATACGGAAATTTATCATTTCATGCTGAACAAATTTTTATTCAAGTGATAACTGAATATGTATGCTTGTAGAGCCAAGGCCTCGAGTTTTGTTAAGTAATAGAAGAATAGCTAAAAATCTTTAAAAGGGCTTAATGATCTAATTAGGTTAGGATAGGTTTATAGGTCGACCCTAACAGGATCTCTACCGAATAGCTTAGAACGCCGGTTCGTTGTGATACCCAAAACTATATATAATTGATCATAAGACCGTCACAAATCGAAAAGGTCCTTTCAGCCCATGAACATTTTTAAGAGCCAATGTCAGTTTCGGCTTTGTCTCCCTGGTTGCTCAGGTTAAGACACTGATGTCCACCTCAGTATTGCAATGGTGCCAATGATACAAAAATATGTTTTCAAATTTATCAACAAACCCATCCTATCTTATCATTAAAATATGGTTCAGTTCATTATAAGCCTAAATGTAGGCAACAGTTTTAAATTCAAAA